GTAAATTAGACTTGACTGAAATGGTAAATTATGACACCTGGAAGAAATGGATGTGTAGTAGATTCAGGACGGGGACTCCCAGCCTGCAGTTTATTACCTGTTTATGCCTTTTGAAAACTGTAAAGGGATTTTCAAATGAAAGGTGTCCTTGACAGAAAGAAGACTGAGCCTAAGGAGACCAAAGCTGTCAGCAAAACACAATCCAGAGACACCGGTGGTTGAACTCTCCCAATCCCTGCTGCTTCCCTGGCCCTTCATATGCTGTAAGGCAGCAAGAAGTCATGCAGAGAAATTGCAGGCTGCCTGTGAAGGAGGTGTAAGCCTCTGTGTCAGCATAAAATGTCACACTGCCAAATTAGCTGAGGGCTCAGTTGCACTGGGCTTGATTTGTACACCTGGAGCTAACTTCACCCTGCACTTTGCAGAAAGTTGCTTTATGTGCTGCACTGTTTCTCATTTTTGAAGCCTCAAAAGCAATGGCAAAATTTTAGAGTTATGTGGTGGGGAGGTATTTTACCAGCTTCATCCAGATCCATGTTGGACTTTCTTTTACTGCATGAAAAGTACTGAATAAATCTAAGTTGTTAGTGACTGGGGAGTGCCTGAAGGCAGTGAACAGATGTGTAGGCTCAATGAGAAATGATAAGAGAAAAACTCAGCTTAGAGTGCTTGGGCTTCATGAGACTTCACATTACTTAGACCATTAACAGAAGAATAGAGAGAAATAAGAACTGAGGAATGTTATATATAGGGACTTAACATTCATGCCTGTCGTTCTTTTATGTTACCCTTTCAAGGAGGGAATGATGTGCTGTTGGCCTCTTGCAGAGCAACGTGTTTGTTAGGCCCATTTAGGACTCAAAGGTATTTTGCGTGTATTTTTCAGAATAGGCTCTATTTACAATTCCATAGATTCCAATTCTATTCAAAATACTCCTTTTTTCCCCAGCAGGGGGAAATCCATTGGCTTTTTACACCTGTTCTCAATAATGACCCCTGTGCTTTAAAACAAATAGAATAATTTTCAGCATTTAATGAGCTTTTGCCTTCAACAGCTACAAATAATCTAATTATCTAGCCACTGTGCATACTGGATGATTTAAGAATTAAAGACACGATTAGAGTCTGTTACAGTAATTAGAATCTATTTTAAACCAATTGCCTGTGGCATTACATGGACTAGTGAAACAAAGGCTTCTGGCTAAATGCTCTTCTTCCACTAAATGCAAAAACAAATGTTAGCACAATTTACTTTTTTTTAAACTGAGAAAATCAAGATGTCAGGAGTCAAGTAAATTAAGCTATCTGTGCTTTTTTTCTGCTGTTTTTTAAATGTTCCATGTGTCACTGAAGCCAATGAAAGGAAGATCACTGATTGCCTTTGGTTAAAAATGACTGAATATATTTGTGTATTTAGTGAATAAAAGGAAAATTACAAATTACAAATTTAGTTATAGTCTAGGCAGGTTGGGAAGCACTAGAAGAGCTTCATCAGGTCCCACAGATCAGCTAGAATTATTTGCAGCAGTCAGTGAGCAGGTGAATAAAGGTAATTAAGCTGATATAATGTTCCTGGATTTACATTACAATTTTTTTTTGTCTGTTTCTTTAATGGCATTAGAAGAAAGGTCCTCTGGTGGAAAAAGGATAGGTTAAAAGGCAGAAGGTTGAAAGACAAGTGGTAGGATTAAACAGTTTGTTTTCATATTGAGGGTGGTGGAAGGCAGCATCTGACAGCCCTGCATGTTCATCAGTGCTGTTCAGGCAGCATCTGACAGCCCTGCATGTTCATCAGTGCTGTTCAGTCCAGCCTGAGCTGTTTGCATGGTCAGTGGAACTGATTAAATGTGCTGCCAGCACACAACTGTTGGCTGTTTCCCCCCTCTTCCTCTGCTAAAATCAACATCTGCACAGGGGAACATAACATCTTTCATTTCTTTCTCTTTTTACCCTCCATCTCATACTCCACGAGAGCTCAGCTTCAAACTATAGGAATATGGGGAAGTCAAAGGGTATCTCTCTGAGGTTGGAGAGCAAAACCTTGGGTCTGAATCTGTAAGTGAGGTAGTAGCCACACCAGGTGCTGTGGAGGGTGTGTTGTGCCCAACCCCAGCTCTGCCTGTGCCAGATATCGTAGAATGGCTTGGGTTGGAAAGGATCTCCAAGATCATCTCATTCCAACTGCCCTGCCACAGTTAGGGACACCTTCCACTGGAGCAGCTTGCTCAGAGCCCCATCCAACCTGGCCTTGAGCACTTCCAGGGATGGGACATCCACAGCATCTCTGGGCAATCTATGCCAGTGTCTCACCACCCCCACCTCACTCATCCCAGTGAGAGCTCTCAGCCCTAGCTGAGTGAAAATGCAGAGTTAAAACATTTGTAGCCCTGTCATTCTAAGTAGCACTGAGAACCTGGAGACTGGTAATGATACATGGAGCACCTCTTTGTCCAGAAAGCATTTCCTGTTAGTAAGTGATATAGAAAGCACCCTCAGAAACCCATTTCCTACGTATTCTTAGCGGATGGTGGCAGATCAGGAGGATAAGGGTTGATGACTGACTAACAGCAGGTTGCATGGGTGATCTGGGATCTGTCAAGATTCCTTATAATACTGGCATTTGGCACATTTTGCAAACTTAGTCCAGCCTGGCAGTGACTGGCTCATCAGCCAGCTCATCTTATAGCTTCTTCCTATGTGTTTTGTTATCTGTCCTCTGGAACACATCCCATTTGCCATAGCTTGTTGCCAGGCTGGAAACCGGCCAGGCTTCCTTCAACCTAAGTTCTCCCCATGAGACTAGAAACCAGCCAAGAACCACTTTGTTCCTGCCCATCTATGTGCTTGCCTACATTAATTTGTACCTATTTAACCTTCTCACTGTTTTGGTAACACAAAGTGTGTGAATGAGATGGAGTAACCCTATAATCCTTCCTATTTTCCTGGCATCCACTGTTCCCTTACACATGACCTTATCCAGCTGCAGTAAAGCAGGACTGTGTCCTCTTCACTCCTGCCACACTTGAATGGTTTCCAATAAAATACAGAGTTGTATTTTTCAGAGTTATATAAATAGGGACCACATTGCTATCCCTTGCCATAATAATAACAAGTAACATCTGTGACTCATCTCTTCACTGTTAGAAGACAGTTTCTCCAGAGAGCAGAAAAGGTGATTTTACAATGAATATGTTACTAGTTATTACTGCAAAGAAAAGCCATAACTTTTGAAACAAAATATCAGGCTATCAAGGAAATAAACCTCCTGCCACAGGATATAAATCGTGTTCTAGCTAATAGGGCTATAATAACCCTTTTTTCTGGATTCCATTTAATAGTGAGCTAACTCAGATACTGTGTCACCTTTCTGATAAAATGTGCTGATCAGAGTGGACCCCTGGTTTGCCTCTGGAGTGGTCATTCTGATCATTCTGTGAATTTGTGTTCAAAAAGGACAGTAGTTTCACACACACTAAGCACAAGGCACCAAACACAAGTGCAGACAAACACAGTATGCACAATTTTAAAGAATGCTTGACTTATTTATGGTATATAGAAAAATGCACTGAAAGTACTTGCACTTACCAGTTTCAAAAATTGGAAAAACTGGACAGAGTAAGTAATATGTTTTCTACTAGATTAAAAAAATGTGACTGTAGAAGAGACAAGATGACGACATCTACATCTGAGTTGCTATAACTTTCCTTTATAGTTGAGAGTAGGTATTTTTAGGGTGGAGCACACCTGACCTGTGCTAGACATTTACATCTGATCAGCTGAATGCACCCCAGAGCCAGATGCTGTTGAACCTCATCAGGTCATGGAGAATGCAGAACCGTCCTGCTGCTGAGTGAAGACTCCCACGATTTCTTGCTGTGCAGCGGAAGATACAGCTATTTTAAATCCTAACAATCCTAGACTGCTTTTTCTCAGACTGTGGGCCAGGATCAAGAGGGAGGTCAGTAGATGATGTAGAATGCCAGGCTGGCAGCATATTAGGCGTCATCTCCTTTCCCTCCTCTGGGAAGAGTGGTAAGGGATCACAGTTACCACTTGCAATAATTTGTATTAGCCAGGGAAAGAGCTAATTTTCCTTGTTTGCTGACAGATCACATCTCTTCCAGGGCAAAAGAGTGACTTTTTCCTGCCTCTGAATAAGTGAGCTGCCAATGCTCAAGGGCCTACAAAACCACAAGCACTGAAAGGGAACTGTGTTTTCAAAGCACTTGAGAACTTCCACCCCAGGTATGTGAGGAAATCCCTGAAGGCATCAGACAACAAACTCTCCCAACTCCCTGCCATAAGACTGCTTTGGACATGCTGCCACCATGGGAATGAAAGATCAGTGGTCCCCTGCCTAGTTTCAAGGCTCTGGGTTTTGCCGGTGCAAAAAGAGATTTGTATACAGGGTCATCCAGAACACCTACTTTAGACTGCAACTCTGAACTGTCCTCTGGACAGACTCCTCTCATTCTCACTGTACACAGTGTCTGTTGTATCCTAAACAGGATGCATAAATTCCCCACCATACACACTGAGAAAGGCAGAGAAGATCTGCCCATGAGAAAAATCTCTAAGCAAATTACTCAAATAAGAAATTGTGAACAACTGGCTTGCATAAAACAAGGAAATACTTTTTTCAGTCAGTATATTTTTTTTTCAGATGTTTAGATAATGATGGATCATCAATATGGGAAATCAACACATCTTTAAAATAAACTCGAATACAGTCATGCTATCACTGATGTATATTCTTTCAGTGCTGCTCCATTCTCCATTTCCCATTGTAGTCATGCTATCACTGATGTATATTCTTTCAGTGCTGCTCCATTCTCCATTTCCCATTGTTGTTGATTTCCATTACATAATTACTACATTACAGCACTTCTTACACTGGAAAGCAAAATACTGCAGGCAGAGGATAAAGTTTTAGACTGCAGTTTTTTTCCTCTTAAAAGCTGGAAATCTGCAATTACATGCTGAAACACTGCCTCACTTACCAACTGATATGGTCCAAACAGCAATTATTTTGGCAAAAGCCTTCGTTCTTGAGTTAAAGCGGCTGTGGTGGATGGGGTTTCGGATGGCAATGTAGCGGTCCAGTGAGATGAAGTACTAAGTTGTAGTAAGTGATACATTTAGAAGCTGCCTGACACTGTTTTAAGAAAATATTTATATTTGTTTGCAGCCTTCTAACTGTAGCTTTTGGGGTTAACTCTGCTTCTTTCCCAGGCTGCAGGCAGCATATGTTTTTTCTTTTTAATTCTGTTTGCATAATGCTAGTGCTTGGTGCTATGATTAAACATTTTTGGCAGAAAATCTATGAAAAGAGAGGCAATTTTGTCATTGTAAATCTGCAAGTTCTCAATTTTGCTTTAGGACTTTTTATCCACGTAATTACTGCATTATCAACACCTGCTGATATGCAAAGCTGCGTTAATTCTGAAAGTAAAACTTTGGATTTAATGGAAGGTGAAGAAGAAAAATTATTTTGTTGCACACCAGTGATATTTATCTCACCTGTCTTTAAGCCTTTACCACATACCTAAATAAGTATATTCCTACTGCCAATGAATGTTGATAGACTCCTCCAGGGAATGCAATCCAAAGCATATTCATTAGTGTTTACCGATATCCAACCTACAGCTTCTTTGTTGCAAATTAAGCCCCTACTTTTTCCTTGTCCTCTCCACTACCTATGAAGATTAATTGGTTGCTTTCCTTTCTCAAAGATGTTGGGAGATGGCTATCATGGCTTGCCTAGTTTTGTGTTTATTGTTTTGTCTTCCAATCTAAGAAAATCATAGCACTTTTTCTTACATCTCATGCTTTGAAAACCTTTTTCCTTCTTCCTTTTCTGCCCTGGAATCTGTTTAATTTATCTGCTTCTTGTATATCATTCAGCGACTAACATAGGACTTGGAACACTTGCAAAGGCCTCCTGACTGCTAAGTGAAATGCAAGATTTCTTCCTGGACCTAGAAGACAATGTCTTTACCTATATAGCCTGGAATGGTAAGTGCCTTTTGTATGAAAACATCATGCTAGTGAAGCATGTTAAGCTCATGATTCGTTTTGACAGCCAGATCTAGTTCAGCATTCTTGAAGCCTGGACAAATTTCACCAGCAGAAGTAGATTTCTTCTTTACCTTTGCACTTATCCTCACTGAATGTTATTTTTCAGTTTCAGGCTTTCTCTTCAGGGGTCCAGATTCTGGTTGATGATTCTCATCCTGTCCCTCTGAGTGCTTGTAACCTCTCCCAGCTTGGTGCTTTTGGAAAGCTGTGTAAGCTCTCACTCCACACACTAGACATGTTGTTCAGAACAGTACTGAGCAGACCAGGCTAAGCCCTGCAGGACCCGCATTCAAAAGCCCTTCTATTCCTGCAGGGAACCACTAATAGCTCTCCTTGGAGCAAGTTTTACAGTTATCAGGATTCTTATCTTGTAGTGATTTAATTTAGAGCATATTACCCAAGCTGCCCATGGTAGTGTGGCATGGGACAATGCCAAAGCTCATATTATGAGAATATGTTAGTATTTTGGGGAGTGCCTGTCTCCTTTGGAGATACAGTACAAGATTTGCAGCAGCAGGAATGGGAGTAGAGAAGGTAGGTCTGTGCCTAATTACGTTTAGTCTCAGTGAGTACTGAGGAGACCAATTTCTTGGTGTTCTTGGGTTGCTGCAATATAAGCTGACCCTGACAAGCCACACAGCATTTATAGATGTATTTTATCATGTTTTCTGGTGTTCTGCTGGGCAGTCTGGTCCCTGGAGTGTGTTATGTGATGGCTGGCTTTCAGGGGCATGACTTACCAGTAGCATCTCTGTCAGGCCAGGACAGTTTACACAGGGAAAACTGTTAAAGTGTTTTTACATTTGACAACATACATCTGTTCTCTTGCTTTAGTGGCCTTTGGGAACACATTTGTCATATCCTTCTAGACTTCTCATCTTTGCAATAAACCAGGATGGGGCAGGAATAAAACACTATCTGGCAGATAAACTCCCTTAGAGACTACAGATTAGAGAAAGGGTAAAGTGTATGAGAGGAGAAAACTCTGGATGCAATAGGGTGCACCCTTAGCAAGGGTGTACATAACATCCTCCAGGAAGTTTTCTGCTCTTGTGGTAGACCAAGACATCCACCTTGGCAGGACTTACTGGGTGCTGCCTTTTCCAGCAGAATCTGGGGCTGCTGGGTGGGTGGAGAGCCCTGCCCAGCCCAAAGGGTGCAGACTGGCACATGGCTGGCATGGCTGGGCACCCAAACCAGAACTGCCCACAGTAGCTATTAAGCTCTCAAGAGGATTATCTCTCCTTTGAGCAAAGCAATCGCCATACCCCTTCAAGGGGCTGCAGAAGGGGTGGTGGAGCATTCCCGTTCCACAGCCTTGGAGGTGTCCTGGCAGAGCAGGTGTGTGCAAAGCCTCCAGTTTGAGCTCAAGACTATCAACAGGGTGATAGTCTGAAGTTGAGCAGTTGCGGCTGAGAAGATGCTCCTGTGGAAGTGGAGGTTTCCCTCCGTTCCATCACTGATCATCCTGGAGGCTGATGGTGTATCACACCAAGATGGTTCTCCTGGTACCAGTGCGTGCCACCAGATGATTTTCTACCCCAAGTTATGCTGCTTGCACTGCTGGTCTTGGAAGGGAAGAAGCAGGGAGAGAGGAGGCAAAGAGAGGAGGGAGAGCACGGCTCCTGCCCTGCGCCTTCAGGCGCTCCTGTGCCCCGGCCTTGGCCGAGGAGGGCGGCGCAGCCTTTCCCGGGACGAGGGCTCCGGCTCCCGCCGGGAGGGAAAGGCATCCAGCCCCAAATCCCGCCCGAGACACCGATTGCCGGCGTCTCTTCCCTCGGCAGCGGAGCCTGGCCAGCAGGAGTCCCTGTTGCTTGTCTCAGGGAATCACGCACGGCTTAAATCTCACCCATCGGACAATTTCTGTTTCGCGCTGTTTCTTTCTCCAGCCAAAGGTAATCACACACTAACACGGTAAATCACAGTGTTGCACCACCACTGATGCCAAAGGCAGATTGCAAATGCTGCTGGGGGCGATCTCTGTAGAGATACTGGAAATGGAAAATAAACTTCCAGCTTTCTGGATTAAATCTCCCTTAAGTCACAGGCTCGTGTTTGGACCTTAAGTCCCGAAGTAGTGAAGTAATAGACACCCTCCCAAACAATCTCACTTTCCTCCTGACAATGAGTAGCTTCTCTTTGAACTGCAGCAATTCAGTTGTAGCTCTGGAAGACTAATTTCTGAAGTTCAGGGCAGTAACAGCCTGACAAAATTGGTGCTGAACACACAGGGTGCTGCTTGTTCCAGCGTGAGCTGTGCTGTAAATGATTGTGGTGGCAATGAGAAGGATCTGCTATTAATCACCTGCAAGGGCATGAGCTGCGAGTCATTATTAACTTAAATAACTTCTCTTAAGAAACGATAGTTTTGCATTTGTAAATGTTACTAAACGGACAGAATTAATGCCCATCCATTTTTTAACCCCTGCAATATTTATTCCAGCATTTGCTAGTAAGCAGATGTCTAAGCAGGGTATTGGTGATAAGAAAATTTTTCACGTTTGTATTACTTCATTAAAAATAATTGAGGTGGCTGCCTGTTTTGAATCTAAGAGTAGTCATTAGTGTTTCAGTGCATATTTGCAGAGCAAAGTAATTGGCAGGACCCAACATTCTCATTGGGAATATGAAAATTATGAGCCAGGGAAAAAGCCTGAAAGCAATAGAAAAAACAAAGCATCTTCATATACTCTTTGAGAAAATTCACCTGACAACTGAGAAATAAACTAATATTATGGACTGTGTTTAAAATGCCTGTAGCTGGAAATATAAAAGATTCAAGTACTTCACCTGTTCCATCCATTAACCAGTGACATATTTCAACTTATACGGAGTGATAGCAATTTTCTGTGGTAAGAGAATGAAATCATAATAACAAGAAGATGTTATTGCATGCAATGTTTAAGGATTGTCAATACATGCAGTAGGTAACACAGCTAATACTCACCATACAGTATGGTTAACATGGACACAGGCATGACAAAGAAACCCAGCAGCATATCAGCTATTGCAAGTGACATTAGAAAATAGTTAGTGGCATTCTGTAGTTTTTTCTCCAGTGAAACAGCCATGATGACAAGAATATTTCCAGCAATGGTTAAAACAATCACTATCACTGTCAGCAAAGCCGGCCAGTTTTTCTGCGAAGGGCAGCACGGTGGGCTCATGTTGCTTTCGCATGAAAGATTGGTTAGGTTGTCAGAGTTCACAGTCAGGTTGCAGAGATGTGATATATTAATTTCTCCAGCTCCATAAACATTTCTGTAGAATCTTCTCTCATGGTTTATTTGTATGAAGGAGTTTGCAGTTGGGTTCACAGAGCTCTCTCCATCACAAAGAATATCCATTGCTAAGTCCAAAACCACAAAGATAAATTGTGAAAAACAGGAAATTATCACCCTTTGTCACCATTGGGCATTATATTCCTCAGCTCTCCATGCCAGAAGTTGAAGGAGCACAATCTTTTGTCGACTGTATTTTTGCCACTAGTGCGATGTAGAAAAACATACCAGAATTACTCCGAAAGCTGAAATGTTTTGTTTTCAGTTCCATAGGAAGCCCAGTGTTGGCATATATTGAAAATCCAGCTTAAAAGTAAAACCAGGCTGTAGGATACCGAATGTGGACTTGAGGCTTCAGAGAGCAAAAAGGTTGGAGAAATAAAAGACATAAAACTTTTGCAACCACTAGGACTCCCCTCTGGAGCTACATCTTATTGCTATTGGTAACTGTAATCACACAATTTTAAACACAGCAGCATTAAAATAGCTTGCCTTATTAAACAGCAAAGCTCTTGCTTCTCTATTAAGAAAGTTGATTAATAATTCCATCCAGCATGTTTCTCTTGAAATAATTAAATATGCTCTTATTTTTAGTGCATCTTCCATAATATGGCTGATAGTCTCTGTCTTCTGTTGTATTTCAGAATCATTTTCAGCCTCGTATCAGAGACTACAAATTCTGCTCCATGCTGATTTTTGTAGCTAATTGTACCTTTTGGCCCAGCATGGCTTCGGAATGGAAATTAAACGACTAGGTACTGTTATAAAAGAATACAATTTAAGGAAGACTTACATTGCACTTCAGAGCCCACTTTCAAACTGCAAATAGATGCACTTTGCACCCTGGTTTACCATGTTCTTCTCTGTGTTTAGCCAGTTCCGTGTCTTTTTTCTTCAGCCTCCTCCACAATGGTGGTAATTCAAATAGTTTTCTGACTTCTAAACTGCACACTTGAGTGAAGCCAGTTCCTGCGCTGCGAGGCTTGCTCTTTTCTTCTGAGAGATAGGCTGCTTGCCGGCTCTTTCCTTGTGCATTTCCCCGCCCCAGGGCAAGCTATATTTAAAGTAATAATAATATCAGAGCCCGTCTTGAAGTGACACAAAAGAAAGCGCGCGCACACGCTCCCGAGAAAGCAGCCTCCACGGAGGAATTACTGATTGCAACAGGAATGGAATTTCTTCCTTGCTGCCTTGTTCGGATTGTCAGACCTCCCACTCTCTGGATGTCATAAACTGCAAGGTAGCGACAGCAGAGGAGGGCAGGGGAGGGCAGAGCAGAGAGGGTCTTTTTGGAAAATCAGCAGCTTTTTCAGCACTTATTTTAGAGGTTCTCTGCTTGGGGCTTTTTCAATGCATGCTTTCAATTTGCAGAGGATGGCTCACAAACAGCTGCATGCAATTACAGGGATTTACAGGATGCAGGCTTGAGAGAGACAAAATCTAAGGCTTGTGATGGTAGATACTAGTGAAATATGTAAGTGAGAAGTTTCTTCCATAAAGAGGGGAAATTCCACCAGCCTTAAAAGGCAGGAATAATATTCAGTCCCATTCAGTTTTAACTCCAGGGCTGTGCTGACGTATGAATCAAACTGGCAATAGATATTTATAAAAAACTGAAGTCACCCTGATGTCATATTCATTTGTCAGGAGATGGATGTGACAGCTAACTCCAGCAGCCTGTCCCAAGCAGGCGTCCCAAATGAAGCAGTTCAGTAGAGCAAATTGTGCATAGAGCAAAGGGGAAACAAAACAGCCTGACACTGCTTCTGTCTTGTACCTCTGCTGCCGGGACACACGTGAAGAAATCGCCAATTCTTCCACTTGCCACCTAAAAAAAGACACCTCCCAGACTTTCTGAGACTTACAGTTGTCAAAATTTTGGCTGCTCACCTGCACTGAAATATATTGCAGACTTATCTCATGCTGAGGGCAATGGCTTTAAGCAGGCAGGCTCAGGCAGTGTACAGTGAGAGCTCAGAGAGGTGCCAGTGTCACTGGGCACCCATGGGTCCTGGCAGGCCCTTGGGAGCTGCAGGCTGCTCCCATGGCTCAGCTCTGTGTGCAGAACTGTTACTCCTGCTGCAGATCCCAGGGAACTTCAAATGCATGGAGTGTTACTACAGCTCAGTGAGGTCTGCTAATCTCTTCATGGACCCAGAGCGTACCAAAGTGAGTCTCAGAGCACACACTGAAGCCCATTCAGATCCGTGGGGCACAGTTGCAGAAAGCCTTTTGCAGTAAAGTTCTATGGAGCCAGTTTTACTCAGAGATGAGCCCAGCAAGACTGGGCAGGCAAGGCAGTAGCTCCCACTAATGCCCGTGTGGAACTCGTAAAATTGTCATCACAGTACTAAAGTTTCCCAGTCCCATAGGTGAGGCCAGAAGACTGTCAGACAACAAAACCAGTAAAAAAAAGGTGATAACGCTGAGTTTAGCAAGCTTCAGCCCTGGCAGTCTCATCCAGAAGCCAGAAGAGGAACTTTCCCTGTCTTTTCATACAATAACCAAATGGGTTACTGTGTTCACCAAGTGAATTTGGCATCTATGCTCCAGAGGGTTTGGCAGCCATCCCCATGAACATGAGAGTGCATATCTGATGAAGAGGGTGGGCTCCACTTCTGCTGAGTGCAGCTGCTGTGCAGCACAGGGCACAGGATCCCTGGCTAGGGCTACATACAACCTTTGTGAGGAACCCAGGTGTCCTGTTGTTTTCTTAGAGGTCTGGCTCTGGGCTCTGACAGCTGCAGTGTAGCAGTCGTGGGTATGTCATGGATGTGACTCCTAAGGAAGAAGTAGCAATATGTTTATTGATATAACCCAGTGATTTTGCCAAGCTTCATGGTAAATGTGAGAAGGGTTTAATAAGATCTGATGACAAGGCACACTTGGCTATTTATGGCCTAGAGGCCAGGGTCAGACAAAACAGGCAGAGAGAGAGACTTTCCTGTTGAGTCATGAGGTTCAGAAAAGACCTCCTTGTCTTCTAAGATCCTTCTCGGAAGGGAGCTTTTGTGTGCCTAATTCCAAACTTAGTCCCAGACTTAGTCAAAGGTTTATGTCTCAAGGATTATGTGTGCACAATCAATCTTTTGTGTCACTTAGCTAAGACTTCAGAGTTTAGCATGCTATTAATCACTTACGGAGAATCTCCTGAGTCAAGGAGTCTCTCAACTCCAAGGAGCAACCTTGAGAGCTACTACTCAAAGCAAAGACCCTGGAAAACAGTCCACTGCCCTGCAGGAGAGATCAATAAACCCTGGCTGTTCACTATTTATGAAGTTAAGATAATTGATTTATAGTCATATTTTGATACCAGCTACAGAAGTTAATTTCTTCCAAATTTGGCCTGAGTTGGACCTTGACAAACACTATGATTGGGGGTGTACAATGACTCATTTAAAACTGCATATTTACTCAGGAACATAAAAGTGAAGTGCAAACCAGTTGAATGTTGCCTTGCCTAAGACCTTTGAAGCAACAGCCATAAGCTCTTCATTTAAGGACTGCACTGTTTACTTTGGTGTAGCTGTAGACACATGAGCATCCACCACAAGGTCTGAGTGCCTTCTGAAAACTCTGAAGTTTTCAGGCTTCCTCATAGAAAGCAATTTGGCACATGTGAAACTGAGGCACAGGCATATTAATTTATTTTTTTTTAAGGTTTGCACATGAAACATGAATAAAACAGAAACCAGTTTTGTGTAGGTTGATATATCAGAAACAAACCTGTGATCTTATGTCTTCTAGGAAAGTGTTCTGGATGTGCAACTGATCTTGAGTTGATTGTATTATTTATCTCAGGATTTTTTTTTTATTTTATTTTGACTGCAAGAGTCTCACCTCCTCCCAAGAACCTGAAAATTGTTTTCCTTCCATTTAGTATCACTGAAGGTATCAAGCAAAAGAAGTGTCCAGTCTTCATTTGCAGAGCCCAACAAAAATAGGGTTCCAGGGCTCTCATCCATCTGCAAACCCAAACGTGAGCCCTACCTTGAGAATTCAGTGTGGAACAACTCCTAGGTGATCAGTCATGTCCAAACCAGCCTTGACCATTGCTTCTCCCACGATCTTCCATTTTAAATGAAGGAGTTTGCAGGTCGATAGCAGCAGAGGCTCGCATGCTGCGACCTGCAAACCCAGGCAGCGCGTCTGCGCTAAAAGCAGACAGCTGCGGTCTGTCCCAGCCTATGTAAATTAAGTGAAATCTTAGCTTAAAATGGCAATTATGTGGTCTGTGGTAGACAGAAAACAGTCTCTGGAAGCACAGCTGGCATGGGAACAGACTGCATATTGCTTTTTAATTTCTGGAAGGCACCAATGTAACAAATTCATGATAACCCCCCCCACACCCCGCCGTTCCCTAGCTTTGCTTGGAAATTTTTTGTAGGACATTATTCTGTTCTCTTGGGCAGAGTTTTTATGCTTGGCACATAAACACTTCCTAGAAATGCTGCTTTTCAAAAATTTTCATCTGAAAGAGAAGTTAAAAACCTAGTTTACGTAATTCAAATTTGGCGTTCTCAGAATTGTTTCAGGTGTAAAAATCCCTGGTTTCTGAATTTGCCATTGCTCTCTGTTGTTCTGAATAGATTTTGTCATTGGTAAATGTAGTAGTAACTGCAGGTGTTAATCAATCACTCTGATATCTAGAAATGAGGCAAGTAGAATGTGAATAATGTGCGTTGTGGTTGAGACTACTATGGTTTGGTATCTCTGCATTCATCAGGGGCTGTTGGGCATGAATCAGAGGCTAGCTATTACAAACCAGAACAAATAACTAAAACCCCTCCTCTTTTTGATGCAGTTGAGATCATTCTGGACCTCTCAGCCTTCGAGACCCATGCCATTGCAGTGAGGTGAGAACAGCTTGGGATGAGCCTTCTGAAAACCATGCTGGAACAGCATCCCTCAAGCCTGCTGGTCACTGGTGATGATCCTGAGCAAGCTGGGTGTTGCAGCACCAGAGCCCTGTGTCCTCATGACTGTAAACCTGGGGTGAGTAACTGGCATGGTGTTTAGGGGTCTTTGCTGTGAAACCGGATATCTGTATTAATTTGCTCTGGATTGCTTTTGAAGGACTGCTGAATATTAGAAGTTGAGGCTGAAGGGAAAGCTGGAGTTTAACTCACTTAAAGCTCAGTTTATATAATTTCTAAGTAATAAGAAAATATACATACATATATATATATATAACTGAAGCTCTCTAATTTTCACGTCTATCCCACACACTAATGCTAGTTTCAATCTCTGTTCAGTCCCAGGTGAAGCTGAATTCATAGCTTGTTTTTAAAAGCAAGATTGTCTCATTCATCCACGAGTTTTGGAAAAATGTGCTGTATTCCTGGGGATTTGTAGGCTTTCTAACCACGTTATTATTTCAGGATCTGCAAGTTGCTGTGCATACTTACACTGCCAAGGGAAAGTTTGATGTGAGAGAGGACTCAGAGCACCTCAAGACACGTCTTTTATCTGTCTAAACCCGTGCACTGAGGTCAGATTTGTAACACTGTACCTTCAACTCCTTTAGGTTGTGTCATTCCAGTGGAGCTCAATGGAACTACTGTGGCATAAACTGATGGAATGATTAGTGGCATAAACTGATGGAATGATTAGTTGGATGGAAATTAGAGTCAGAATTATTTATTTTTCCTCTTGTGTGATTTTACCCGTTAAAATATTTCTTTCCCTGTATCAAAATTTTTTAGTGGGAAGAAAAGTTATGAAGGACTTTGGTTTGCAAGTATCCAAATATATTGCTTCAGTCTTGTTGTTCTAAATATGATACTTTAATATTGTTGAATTAATAATATTTTGTTATGAGCCAGCTAACTGGCTGGGATGCAAATTGTCTTATTCCCAGATTCTCCTGGGCAATTTATATCCACGATTTGATTTTTTTCCTTGAATAGAAAGTTGATTTTGTGGAAACTTTATTTCCCACCAGAGGCTGAACTGTTGGGGGGTGTCCCTAAGCTTTTGTGCTGAAGCAATGGAAGGCTTCTGATGCTTTAAGGAGGAAATCTGCAGCTTTACTTGAAGAAACCTCTCTAAAAATCCATGCTTTATTTTAGTGAAACCTGAAGGGAAAGGTTCTTCTCCATGTCTTTCTCTCAGCTGTAAATATTAACTATTTATGTACCTGATAATGACCTTTTATACCACAAGAGGTATCTGCAGACATTTGATTTATTAAAACTTGCTTTGCTTTGAATATTTTCATTTCATCTCTTCTAGCTGATAGGTCAGCTTGCTATGAGACAATATTATGTTGCATTATGGTCAGCTGAGTTACAATTTGGCCAGTTTTTCTGTAGGTAAAATTTTATGGCATCCTGACACACATCACTGCAAATTCCATTATATAAAGCTCCATATTCCATGCATTAATGTCTGAATCTCTTCCACTCTCTTTTTCCTCAGTTTAAGCTTCCGAGTGGTAGTGAGCTTTTCCACTTAATTTGCTTCAGTTTACTGCTTAAAGTGCTTTTAAGTGCACTTAAAAAGTGCACTTGCTGCCCACAATTAGCACTGGTCATCATCCAAAGCCTGTCTCCCATCAGCTGTTACCCAGTGAAATTGCATCTTCTTAATGGGATGACCAAAACCAATACACCATATTGCAAAGTGGCTTTGTGGGAACTTTCTGCCAAGACAGCATCATCTCAGGGGAGCCTTACAGCTTAAAAGCCTTGTATCAGGTGATAGACATTGCAGAGGATGGTGGGGGCACTTCGTCCTTTCTTTCTTTTTATCCCCTCTTCAAAAAACTTCCATCACTCTGATGACCAGTAAAAAGGAAAGGGAAAACAAAAGGAAGACAAAAGTAATTTCAGGTTTTTTTGTGTTCCAGTCTATGATTTGGCCATATTTCTCTGGGCTACTTTTTTTCTCTTATTTCTCTAGTAGCATGTAAACAGAAGCTCAAGAGTAAAATGAATCCATAAGGACTTTCCTACATTTATGTTTGTACATTGATGGATGGAGAAGCATTTAAGAGAAAAAGAATCAATTTTGAATCCA